TTCTGCCACTGTTATTTTCTTTCAAGAACAGGGGCCTGCAGGAACCTCCTTCACATCAGTGGGTTGCGAGATAGACAGTGCATGATTTTTTTATGAAGTGTGACATGCCAGATAAGCCCGGGCCGCTTGAAGCATGCAACTCTGAAGTCTTCCCCTCTGCCTTTCCGCTCCTCTTTGCCTTTTAGTATGAGCTATTTATTCAGACGTGATGATGAAATCAAATCTGGTGTGCTACACTTCACTGGCTTGTACAAATCAGACTGTCAAACGTTTTGGCCCATATTTGTGATAATCAGCACCTGTTTTACAAATCCTGATCATCTTACTGTTACAGCTGTTGCTTGATTCAGTGTAAAGTCTGTTCATTTGCACTGATGGAAAAATTAAATACTGTGCTTAATAAATTCTGAGGTACTTATACAGTACTTTACTTGAGTATTTATATTTTATGCTACCCTATAGTTTGATTCCACCACATTTTAGATGCAAATATTGTACTTTATTCACAGTCTACTCAGTAGTAATTAATTTAGCTCAATCTACAGCTGCAATGTAAAAGCAATGTACACACATAATCCAATAATATAATAGATATTGTTCTGAAAAAGAGTCATTCTGCATAAAGAATACTTTTATTTTTGGTGTTTTAAGGATATTTTACTAATAATATTTAGCATTTTGAATTTGGGACTTTCACTTCTAACAGAATTTCTAAAGTATTTCTATACTGTAGTATTGGTACTTTTACTTATGTAAAAGATCAGTGTAGTTCTTCTAGCAGTGTTAACAGACCTAGAGATTGTAATGCATTTCTAAGTGATGTGTGCTTGTTAGGTATTTTTATGCACCTTGTTCTGTAATGTACTGACTGAATCTAGGTCGTACTGATGCCTTTGGCATAATGGTGTAATAAAACACAATGTTAGCATTTCTCATATCTCAACCACAACCTGCCTTTTGGTAGATTCTCAGTTGGTCGGAGTGTTGTTGTCTTAGCAGTATTATCAGTGGCTTCATGTCTTTTGAATAAGTCACATATACGACCTGGACGATTGGAAACAGGTTTAACTCAACAGTAATCATTTAACATGTGCCCCTATTTATTTGGGTGGAGAAAGGTTAGCATAGTTACATATTATTCAGCACAGTCCAATCATTCATTTGGATGAAAGCGCAGTGATCCTATTTATTACATGTATTTATTACCTATAATAGTTTTAATATTGTAATAATACTAAAAATGCTGTTTTACATTTGCCATTATAAGAATTCTAATGAATAATGGGTATTTTTTACATCATGGCATTTGGTACAGCACTTGAACCCATGTAAATATTCATTCATCACTGCCTATAAGCAATAACTTGTAACATGTTACAGAAAGAACCTTGCTTCATCTTGGTCAGTTTTTTTATTTACTTCAATCCAAATTGATGTGTATGTCATCATGCAGCTTCTGCTCATTTCGTTTTATTTAGTGCCTCATTACTCTAATGAAATATACTTAATTAGAGCCTTAGTCATGGTTGAGAAACAATTTTTTTTTTTGTTTCTCTTTTGTCATTCTTTCTCTTTTCTGTTTTCATTATTGCACTCTGCTTTTCTGTCTTTTGATTTGGTCAAATTTGACTAAAAATGTCTTGGTTTTGTTCAGTACACACATGCAGTCATGTGTTACTATAGTTGTGAGGGCACATAATGTATTCCTTAGCCCCTTACTCTAACCCTGGCCCACTAACCCTGTACTAAACCAAATTATTACCTACCTAATAATAATAATAATTGTACGTATCTGTGTTTGTTGGTTTGTTCACAGCATAACTCAAAACGTAATGCATGAATTTGGATGAAATGTTTTACAGACATAGGGTATGGACCACAGAACAATTGGTTAGATTTTGGTGCAGGAATTATTTTAAAGGATTCACCACTGTGAGACAGAACCAATTTCAGTATTTTTGCTTCTGACTCCATACAAAATGCCTACAATGATTTTCAAAATTTGCACAATAAGATCCACATGCAATCTACCATGCACCAAAGTCTGATCTAGATCCAGGTCATATTCTGATTCAATAGGGTGTCAACAGATTTGCTGTAGGCTAGTTACCGAGCTAGCTCCTAAAGAAAACTGCCATTAGTTTTTCTTGAATTACATTCAAAATCATATTGTTATCAATGTGATTCCAAATGCTAGAGGAAGGTTTTCATGGTCAAGGAATCACCTATGAGTGCCAACCTATATTGCTTTTGGGTGTAATGGCGTTAAGGGGCAGCAAGAAGGTTCTGGATTTGTGTCCCAGCTGATCCCTTGCCTTTCTGTGTGGAGTTTGCATGTTCTCCCTGTGCCTGCGTGGGTTCTCTCCAGGTACTCCGGCTTCCTCCCACAGTCCAAAGTCATGCAACTTACATTGATTGGTGACTCTAAATTTCCTGTGGGAGTGGGTTGTGTGTGGTTGTCTGTCTACATGTCAGCCCTGTGGTAGACTGGTGACCTGTCCAGGATGTAGCCTGCCTCTCCCCAGTGTTAGCTGGGATTGGCTCCAGCCCCCCACCCCCCCACGGCCCTATTCAGAAATATGCAGTATAGAAAGGATGGATGGCATGATGGAGACAGTGAGCGGACTCGGTGGAGTGCTGTATACTTTTAATCTTAGCCCTAAAATCAAGTCTTAACCTGCAAAAAGCCGTGAGGATGGACTAAAATGTGCCACTGAGAAAACATTGGACCACACGATGTAATGCGGGGACTAGGGGACAGCAATTGCATTATGTCAGCGAGTGTCATCACAACTATAGTAAGACCAACTCTTGTGTCTGTGTTGCTTTGTGTTTTGGTGTGTGTGTGTGTGTGTGTGTTTACATGTCCTTACATTGATCCACACAATGTAAAAAAGACATACACACTGACGTAGAAAGGGGGGAGCCGAGCCTCCTCACTTCTTACACGCTTACACACGTCACGCCCACAGTCTCCCCCTCTGTCACCCACACACAGTCTGTAGTCGCAAAAGCAGGGAGAGACAGCCGGGTCGAGCGAGGCTCTACCGCCATCAGAGAGCGGCTCCTCGCTTGCAGACGAGCCGTCATGAAGCGGTCAGGGGGAGTCGGTGCAGCCGGGGAGGAGGAGGAGGAGGCTGGGTAGAAAGGAGAGACAGAGGGAGAGAAAAGGCCTTATTCTAATTCAATGTCTCTCGCTCTTCGTCTGCATCATGCTGTACTTCCAGCTGGTGATCATGGCCGGAACGGTCATGTTGGCCTACTACTTTGAGTACACCGACACCTTCAGCGTGCACGTTCAGGGCTTCTTCTGCTATGACACAACCTACACCAAACCCTACCTGGGACCGGAGGACAGCAGCGCCGTCCCGCCCATCCTGCTGTACGCCGTGGTGGCCGGGCTGCCCACGCTGCTGGTGAGTGCACACCTCGTCCGCCAACTTCACCCATTCAACCTGCAGGTTCAGTCAGTTATTAGCCAGGCTGGATCTAGAAACAGTTCCTTAAAACATGTTTGTCAGCCAGTGTGCATTGCAATAGAAGGTAGCCCAAGCCGGTAGTTCTGCCGTATTCTCCTCATTTATTCATGTGCCAAGCAATTTGCTCAATACTTACTCTGTCCTGGGGGGTGGGGGTGGGGGGGGGGTTAGTGGATGCACGGATGTACATTAAGGTCGGATCTATTTAGCAAATTGCAGAATGAGGAGAAAAGGACAACAAACCGCAAAAAGGTGCGATTAGTACTTTAGAAGTGTTTTCAAACATCGTGGTCTACTTTGACAAGAGAAAGACTGTAGCGACCATGTTTGTCTAATATTATGCGAATCCCGTTTGTTTACGCAACTCCATTAAAGACCAACGCACACTCGTTTACCGACATGCATGCATCCAAACAGGACTAGGAAGCTAACAGAAATGCACAGGGAAAACATTTCAATGAGGAATTATAAATAAGAGGAATAGCTTGTAGTGTAAGCTGTAGGCATCAAACACTGGAGAAGGTCAAAACTTGTTGGTCAACTCTGCTATAACCATCTCTCTGAAGAAAAAAATGCCTATAAGTGCATTGTTTCAACAGAAATACATGTGTGCTGCCTGTCTCATTATTCTGACAAAACCATATGGCAGCCTGACATTATATATCATCAATTTAAATAGGTCTCAATTTAAATCTTGCATCATATGCAGCTGTCTTTATTGATTCTAAATGCTCAGAAATATGTTCCTGTCACTCTTTTGCATTTAAATACGGATGTTAATGTGGTTGAAGTCATCAGTGAAATTCTGCCAGTTACATTTTTATATAGATAAGAAAGAAAAAAAAGAATGAGTACTGGAATAGTCACACTGAAGACCTGGTCAGGTACAGCCCTGATTTATGTCACTGTGGGCTCCATGGGCAGGAGTGGCATGATCAGTTTGGACCATTTTCTGACCATGTTTAGAACAAATAATCCATGAACAAATAGTTAAATACAATTAATAAAAATGACATCTGATAGAAAAATATTTACAGAATAACTGATCTTGCAAGATTGAATTTAAAATTGTGCCATAAATCAGTGCACATGATCAAGCATAGGTTTCTATGCTGAGTCCGATTTGTCTTGCATCTCTCAGTAAACAAGAGTGAATGCGAAGCCTGTCCATTAACCCGTAGTGACTTGATTTCTTCAAAGTGGAGCCAGGAAAGACACCTATCACTCAGAAGAACTATAAGCTGCTATCTCAGTGATAGAATACGATCCTATTTATCCTGAGTCATTCCTGACATGATGTTAAGTTGCATGCATTGTTTTTTGTTGATTTTCTGGCCACCGAGGGGCACCACAGCAAGCTGTAAATACAACACTGCAGGAACATCCCCATTAAAGTTGTTGCTATGGTGAACATGTTAACATCATCCAGCCGACAGAGAATAATTACACGACAAGAATGTGTTTATAATTGTAATTAGTTCAGTCATAGCATAGTATTTTGATTATATGTGCATGAATATGCTAACAGCTTTGTGCAGGACCATCTGTTGATCAAAGTTTATTTGGAGTCATATCTTTGTCCACCTGATGAATGTAAGCCTGTTTTAGATTTGTTATTTGTTTCTACCCACTCCTAGCTACTAAAGCTCTATACAGTGTGTTCACCAGCTGATCTCACCATTTGCTTCTCACAGACATGTGAAATGCTTTCACATATTACTGAAATTCTTATTGAAAATGCTCACACGTACTGTTAGAATACTCACATTGAGTTTCAGTTGTATATGTTTTTAGTGTAATGCCAGAGTTAGTAGTGCATGTGTGAGTAATTTCAGTAGTATGTGAGAGTGATTTCACTTATTTGAAAAGAAGGCACTGTAATCTGAGTGTCTGTGAAATTCTTAAATGTCAGTGGTCCATTCTCTGGGTCAGTGACACATCATTATAGGTCCCCTTTCCCAAAACGACAAAATTACATATTAAATGATATATAAAGACTTTATATACTCTACATATCTAAAGTTCTGACACGGTGTGCTGTGTCAGCTCAGTCAGAAAGTTCAAATATGAAACTTGCCATCCTACCTGAACTGACTTGAGTTCCTCAGCATGGAGCACTGGCAGATGTCTGTTTTTATTTGATTAGTCTGACGAGTTATTAGTCACAAGGCTGGCATCTCAGTAGCAGGATAAGTCTTGGATGCCAATGTAATTATTTGTCTTTAAAAAAAAAACAGCCTGCACAGATTCCTGCAGATTTCTGCCTGAGCTTTGCTTGTCATTATAATCATAAAATTACAGGATCAGATTTGTGGACCTGCAGACGCTTCCTTCCAATCACTACACAATAATGCTTGAATTGTGTTGCACTGTGCTTTCATTAGCTCTGCCAATTACAACCTGACTGTGCAATGAACATAAAATGCAGCCAACAGGGATGCAGTACAGTTTGAATGTTAAGTGCAGTGATTATCGCTGCAATAGCTGGTCTGGAACTGATAGTGCAGGCTGAGCATTTGCACAGAGTGATCCCTCTCTGACTTTGTGTAGGGCTGATTGTACTCCTGTTTTTCTGTTTCAGCAGCTCCCCTGCCTGCCTGTCTACAACTACATATGTGGGCGTGCGCAGACACACACATAGACACATTTGTTTCCATCCCATGGGGATATAACACTGGTGTACATTCATTTTCCTTAGCCTAACCTTAAACCTTGTTGTCACTCTAAAATTCAATGATTTACCATGGTGGGGACCAGCATTAGGTCGAGTCCCCACAGAGTGAGTGTGTCAATAGATTTCTGTCCCCACAATGTGAGTAATACACACACAGCTGAAATCAGTCCAGACATCATCTTACTTAGAACACAGTCTCAAAACAGCAGTATTACTCATCCAGATTTAGCAGAATATGTTTGCCTCCGTCTCCTCTGGTGTTTCTCTCTCCAATGTAAGTCATGTCAATGTTTGATGTAAGTCAGGATGTTCCTCTTCAAAATGACAAGGTCTTCAACATGTAGTGTAGACAGACTAGTTATTAGAGAGTTTAATGGTACAGACTATGTTCATTTTGTTTCCCTGATCAATGTGATCAGGAGGAAACAACAAAGTATCTTGTGAAATGTTTTGACTTATCAGACAATATTTGTGTCTTCTGTTGTAATTTCTGGCAAAAAAGTGTCAGGGAGCAGGTGGCACAGTGGTGCAGTGACTAGCGCTGTCGCCTCATAGCAAGAAGGTTCCAGGGTTGAACCTTGTGGCTGACCTGGGCCGTTCTCTGTGGAGCTTGCATGTTCTACCCGTGCCTGTGTGGGCTTTCCCCCGGTTCTCCAGCATCCTCTTACAGTCCAAAAACATGTAAGGTTGATTGGTGACTGAGTGTGAGTGGTTGTCTGTCTCTATATGTCAGCTCCGTGATAGACAGACGACCTGTCCGTGGTTTACAGGATAAGCAGATTAGGGAGCTAATTCGAAGACTGTCTGTTTATACATAAATGGCAAATAAAAAAATCTTGACTTGCATGGAGGATCTGAGGAAAACAGGATATGGAGTTGCATTGTGGAAACTGTAACAAGTGTAGCGTCATCTCTTGAGCTTGATCCATATAAGGGGCTACAAATGAGAATCTCTCTCACTCTGATGCAGATTTTGACCAATCTATTTTTTAAACTGTCTCCTGCAAGAAGGTGCAAAACTAAATCAGTGGAGTGTCCCTTAAAGCAATAAGACTGGCGTTATTTTTTTGTCTTATTGTTGACAAATCCCATGAAAACATTAGAACAATGTGTTTGTCTGTTTCTGATACTTTCTGACTTCCCTACGCTGTCTGTGGCTTTAAGCTCCATTTCTTCCTACTGAAGATAAAGCTTATTTAGTTTGATTGTTTAAAAACTGGTCTAATCCTTTTCTGTAAACAGCTGCTCACATAGGTTTTAGCAAATGTTACTCATTTGTTAGGGACTATAGAGGTGACTCAAAATCATATTTGGTAATCTGCTGTAGTAAGAATGTCTGACAGCAGGAAAGTGTATGTGGAACTGAGTCGAAATAAACTACAGTGTGTGTTTATGGTAATGAAGGAACATGTCATCAGTGCAAACGGTGTGACTCATTGGTGTGGGGTTTTTTGGACAACAGTGGAGCTTTGCAGCACAGAGGAATAAGATATGAGGTATATGAGGCTTGTTAGTCTGATGCATTTGTTGCTGAGCGGTTATGGAGTTGTTGAAAATAAGAAAAATATTAAATATTACATAATTTATTCAATTTTACAACAGAGGACATTGAGTTGTTAGTATGACATTTCCCTACCTCTCAGCTGCAGCTCACCAAGAAAACACTGTCCAAGGAGACAGAAGAAATTTTATAGATAAAGCTGGAAGATACTGATTTAACAATTTGTCTGATCCAAGCCATATTAGCTGAACTCAAAGAATAAATTTATGCATAGCAGCAGGACTGAGGATTTAAAAAAAAAAGTCAAAGGTACAGGCCCATGGACATGAGCAGAGCAAGCTGATTTGGAGTTTCATGCTAGTGCTACCTTAAGTTACATAGTGTGGCTTTAATATCAGCCTTACTCTCAGCATAGATCTCCCTCT